GGGGAGAGAGGGAGGGGAGAGAGGAAACCCAAAGTAAACTGAATTGTTAAATGAAATAAAGAATGATCCTGACCTAATACAGGCTCAGTGAGCAGTGTAGAGATGAACAATGAATTGATATATTATATTATCAAAATTGCAATATGCAACTCTCAAGAGCTGTACTGTTTTGATGAAGGTAAAGTCTGTGACCAGCATTATAATGAAGTACTGTAGTGCTCCAGAGGTAGCCTGGTCTACATGTTCGGTACAGACCTCCTCAGGGGTTTTTTTTTCAGTGAAAATTCAATTTGGGAGGCAAAAAAGATCATTGGCACAATATCTGACAAAATACTCACAATATGATGTGTTTACCGTATTATGACCAACAACGAGCCATAGAAACTGGAACACAGGCAGGACAAATAGAAACAGAGAGGAGTTCCCCTACGAGGAAATACCCAAAAGGATTTTCCAACATTAAGTTCTCCTTTGTGAAGGGACAGCAGCTCATCTAGTCGCCAAATATGTGTCTGTAGATGTATTTAATTATAGGAATTGTAAATGAATGTATGGTATTGAAAAATATGTGATTATTGTTTTTGGCAACAGCAATTTTTTTATTAATGCCAATAAGGCACAAAACATTATATTCCAGTTAAACAAACATGGTGGCATCAGAGCCTGCTGTACGTTTATCAAGGCTCTGTTTGTTATCGCCAAGGACGTGCACTTTAATTCCCCCAGTTACCTCTTTATCTGTTTATCTGGCTTGTGGAACTGTGCTCTGACCTCTCGTGATACTTTCACCTTTAAACGTGTGTTAAAATAGAACAAAATCTGTGAAAACAAATGAAGATGATATCTTTGTCCCCCATTGGTGCCATCACTGTACCTGTTGCTTGTACATTTGGTGAATGCCACTGTGTGTTGCGCTGCGGTAAAAGCACCGTAGCAGTGTGCAAAGTACAGCATGGTGCTGCATGACGACTGATGTTAACCTGATAACCTGATCCTTCAACAGAGATGAAAGGTGCAGTGACCATGGAGGCCACCAGGAGACGTACCCAGCACAGTGCCAATGGGAGAGAGTCTGAGGAGAGCCAGCAGCCAGCACAGTGGGGGAGAGCATGGTGAGTTGAAATGATGTAACAGGTTGCTAAAGGCCATCTTGTAATCTAATGCAGTGGTACTCAACTGGTTTCACCTTGGGACCAACATTTGTCTCATGGCCATTAAGTCGTAAACCTCACAGAATTCCAACCAGGCAAATGTAGTCTTCAAATAGGCCAGTAAACCTCACCTCAGTCTTAATTATAAACGGAGTAAACACATCCCAACTGCATGTAGCTTATTCTTTTGAATATTAAAAACATCAAAACAGGTGTTTCGCACCAACCAGCTGAGAGAGCGTGATTTAATGTACTTCACTAAAACACTTCACAAGGTCATCACAACGTTGAGTTTTGGGCCTGAAATTCAAACCTACACTCACCTAATTCAAAAACTCTTGTTAAAATGTAAATTGAGATTGAAGGGAATAACTTTAGAGTAAAAGTAAAGCTGTGATGTAGGACTTTTGAATCCAGCTGTCCAAATCCATGTAATTCAGTGATAGACTCATCCCAATATCATCTAAGTATCACCATATCTTTGGGATTATAGCATGATTACATGAAAGGTGAGGAGGAGGATGATGATGAACTGGTGACCTCATGCCCTTATGACCTACTGACATTAAACTATATAATGTTTTTAGGGACATGCCAGGGAGCGATGAGGAAGAATACAGAGTGCATCAAGTTCATAGTAATTCTCATAAAAATAGCCTTCAGTAGCGTATAAAGTTACATATGACATAACTAATGTTTAATGACGATGCTTTTTCTTTTTAAGTCTGCACAGGAGGCGTTCAGGCACAGTTTTGAGTGTAGGTCACCCACATTTTACTGAAGTTACGCATGTAAAACAGAAGAAAATAGACATGAAGGGTAAAAAACACATGAGACAGTCAACTGAACTTATGTGGACAAGCACTGAAGCTTGAATCTGCCATCATATTCAGCTGTTCTCATACTGTATGTATGTGTGATTCATTCTCAGGGAGGTGGACTGGTTTTCCCTGACTGCCGTGGTTGGCCTCCTCTGCTTCGCCCCTTTCATTGTCTTCTACTTTGTGATGGCCTGTGATCAGTACCAGTGCTCTGTCAGCCAGCCTCTGTTTGATTTGTACAGAGGAGACACCACGCTGCTCTCCATCTGGGCCCGCTCGCCCTCCTTCACCTGGTCCGCCGCCAAGATATATGCCATCTGGGTGGCCTTCCAGGTAAGAATAAGAGGCATTGTCCTCAGCTCTTGGCAAATGTTAGCAAGTAACAGGTTGTGTTGTCCCTTAGGTGTTCCTGTACATGTGCATTCCTGACATTACGCATAAGTTTCTTCCTGGTTACGTTGGTGGAGTGCAGGACGGAGCACGGACTCCTGCTGGTAATAAACACACATTACAGCAATCTGGCTCAATGCTTTCGGAGGGTGTGATAGAATTCTGTAATAAAATGTTGATGATCAAACCTGTGTTGTTTCCTGTTCACTACTTTAGGCCTGATTAACAAGTATGAGGTCAATGGGCTGCAGTGTTGGCTGATCACTCACGCTCTGTGGGTTGCCAATGCCCACTATTTCCACTGGTTTTCTCCCACCATCATCTTCGACAACTGGATCCCCCTGATGTGGTGTGCCAACATACTGGGCTACGCTGTGTCTACCTTTGCTTTCATAAAGGCTTATCTTTTCCCCACAAACTCTGAAGACTGGTGAGTTCTGGTAAACAGGACACATGTTCTACAAATTAGTACACAACTTTATCAGCTTGTTTTCTGGAATCCTTTTTGTATTTCTCCAGCAAGTTCACAGGGAACGTCTTCTACAACTACATGATGGGCATCGAGTTCAACCCACGAATTGGCAAGTGGTTTGACTTCAAGCTTTTCTTCAACGGCCGCCCCGGCATCATAGCCTGGACTCTTATCAATCTGTCCTACATGGCCAAGCAGCAAGAACTGTACGGCCACGTCACCTACTCCATGATCCTCGTCAACGTACTGCAGGTAAGGGGGAATATGGATGGATCACTGTCTGTTGAAGAACTGAGCGAATCTGTGTGCTGATCCTGTGGAAGGCAGAAAACTGAAAACATACCAAGAGAGATCAGGCTTTCATCATGGCAATGTTAAAGAGCGTATAAAAAACGATTTTAGATTTTTATTCGACTGATCAAATGTCCCGAAATCTTTGCATTTCCACCCTTACTCAGTAAAGTGTGTAAATCTGTGCTGAATGTGGTTACCTGTGTAAGTGATTTAATTCGAGCTGCATGATGCGTAAAATGTCTACTTTGTGGAAACTGAGTTATTACGTGTGCCCAGTCCACTGACAGTCCGTGCCTACAGTACAGCTGTATGGGATAGCATTCATTTTTGTATAATAGTGTATAATGATGACACCCTTGCAAGTAGTGCAGGTCTTTTATAATTGTTGCTCAACTGTTGCACCTTTGGTGGACCTAAAGAAATAAAGAGATGTTTTAGTTTTGCATTCTCCAACAAAAATAAATCCTTGGTCTACAGTTTTATAACCATTTAGCCTATAATGTGAACTTTACACAATTACTATATTCAAGGAAGCAACAGTGTTGCTCACTTGTTGAATGTAGTTTGAGTTTTCAGGATACATAACAGCAGAGCTGAACTGAACTGAATGGAATCAACACAAAACCATTCTGGATTTTGGAAAATGAAATGAATTGAATTAAATTGGGTTCTGTTAAAGATAAATCTCCACCCTTCTTTGACTTTATTAAGTTAAGAGTTTTTTTTAAAACTGCTCGTGGGTCATAATAACAACTGGAAGATTGTGTTTTCTCATAGGCCCTTTATGTGTTGGACTTCTTCTGGAATGAGGCGTGGTACCTGAAGACCATTGATATCTGCCATGACCACTTTGGATGGTACCTGGGCTGGGGTGACTGTGTCTGGCTGCCCTACCTCTACACACTGCAGGTAACAAACTCATGCATGCTAATCACACACAGTAATGATTATGTCTTCAATATGAATTGATATCTTTGGTGGTCCTTAGTGGCATCATGTTTAAATACCTCTCTGATATCAGGAAAAAACAATTTTCATAGCTTTTGTGGATTTTAGAGTAATGTCACAATGTAAAACTTCAGTGCTAATCTGAAGTTAAATCCTCTGTGTCTGTGTGTCACCCTCTATCAAATACTTGTCATCCCCATAATCATTATTATAACTTTTTCTTTCTAGTTAAACTTTAAAATTGAAGCATCTGAATGAAATGAAATTGAAAAAAAGAATGGAATGTGTGTGCGAGTCTCATCTGTATTTGAGTGTATGCCACGCTCTAGCACAGACATCGAAACAACAGATTCATTTGAGCAATAATAAATGTGTTTTTGCCCTTTAGGGTCTGTACCTGGTGTACCACCCAGTCGAGCTCACAAACGCTCACGCCCTGGCTGTCCTGTTGCTCGGCCTCATTGGGTATTACATTTTCCGCTCCACCAACCACCAGAAGGACTTGTTCCGGCGCACCGAGGGCTCCTGCTCCATCTGGGGCCAGAAGCCAACGTACATCGAGTGCTCATACCGCTCCGCCGACGGTGGCGTCCACCACAGCAAACTCCTGACCTCAGGCTTCTGGGGAGTGGCCCGGCACTTCAACTACACCGGTGACCTGATGGGGTCGCTGGCCTACTGCGCCGCCTGCGGCTTCGGCCACATACTCCCATACTTCTACATTGTTTACATGACCATCCTGCTGGTCCACCGCTGTGTGCGCGATGAGCACCGCTGCAGCAGCAAGTATGGCAAGGACTGGAAACGCTACACAGACACTGTGCCTTACCGGCTGATTCCTGGGGTGTTTTAGAGAGGGGAAGAGGAGTGGGAGGAGGGAGGGAGGGAGAGCGGTAGGGTGTGGGCTAAAATTAAGCTAAACATGAGCTGTGTGTGTGTGACTTTGTATGTGCGTGTTGTTTTATACACATCAGGAATACACTGACAACATTTTAGCACCACATTTCATACATATATTTTACATAGGTGTAGACTGCTGTACACATGTAAATGCAGGTACGGACAGTCTATTGCTGTATTTCTCTGCCTCAGTAAAGGCACTTTGATACACCATTCTGCTGCTTTCGTTATGCTGTGACCATTTAACATAGATAAACACATTTTTTTTTAAAAAGGGGAATATATCTTTGTAACTAGTGAGACCAAGCACAACTTAAACCACCTTGGTTCTGCAGGGGAGAAGTTCTATGACTATTGTGCACATTGCCATGACATTCCCAGCCTGCCAGTGCAGCTTTGAATGGGTTATATAGCAACTTCATAAAGTAATTTGTCAAATGAGGAAAAAAATAACCCATGACAAGTTAGTGAGTATGATAGTCATTTATCGAGAAAAATACTGAAACATTGCTGGTTCAGTTTCTCACATATGATAATCTGACTTTCTTTTTTGATTTATATCATTAGAAATGTAACACTGTATTTTGTCTGTTGCTTAGAAAAATAAGCAATTAAATGATGTCACTTGGCACTGAGATAGCCTGTGACAGGGCCTATTCATTATATTTGGCATTTTTAGACTAAATGAGTGATTAAAAATGAAAAACTGATATATTTATTAATCAATATGGACTATAATATTTTGTTGCTGCCCTACTGGCTTAATGGACCAAATGTGATTGCTGGCTCCACTGACGTGACCTGCCTCATAAAAAGTTATGTAATCTTTGTATAAAGGTTGTCTGAGTGCTCAGATTTATTCACTCAGTCATTTTCAAGTCTGACTGTAGGGGAAGTTTGTTACGGTTAGGTAATTGCTTGTCTTGTTGGTGAAAATGTCCCTCTTTGTGGTTGAGATGTTGGCATAAATCAGCGATGTTATAGACAGGTTTAAAGACTCATTAGACTATAAGAAGAAATTCCCAAACAGCAAGGAACAGCCCTTTCTTTTCTTTCTGCATTCCGAAACTTAACAAGTACAATCTAGTTAGATTGTATTTGCTTTGTGTTAATCCAGCATGTAGAGTAGTAGTGGTCTAGCCATGTTTAAGCTCCATGCTGATAGATCTTTTTCTGTCCATTCATCACATTTGTTTTGTTTGTTTTTGTGTCCTCATACCAGTACTGCCTTTCTTAAAGTGATAAAGTAACAAAATACATTTTATTCTATCTGTGTACAGTGCTTCTTTTTTTCAGAAATGTTCACTCATCTATTCTTGCTATTTCTGTTCTTGTGACATTCTCCCATTTTAATAAGTCAGAGTGTTTAATGTGTTGGATTTGAGACTTTGTTTATGTATCAGTGAAATACTTCCATAATTTGAACACCAGCTCACACCACTGCAGCCTTGATGCCATTTTTAATGTTCAACACTAGGGGGCAGCAGATGACAGCTAATCCCAGTGTTCATACAGAGTTGTATGTGTTTGAAAGAGTTGTGTGTGTGTGTGTGTATATATATATATATAGTAGTGGGTTTACTTAAGAGCATAAATTTCACATAATCACTAGTCAGTCATGTAACTGCTATCCCTAAACAGGAAACAAGCCACTCAAAACACAAATGTGTAGCTCCCTATTCAAAAAGGTTTTTGTCATTCAGCCAATACAGCCATACTGCACTGCTGTTATTATGCAGAAACCTTCACTATGTTATCACCATCATTAAGTCAGAGCAGTCGTGCACACATCTTAACTCAGCTCCCTGTAATTTCATTTGCAACATTTTGACCAAATACAGGTCTTCCTCAGACAAAGCAAATCATTAATCATGAACTCTCAGTCAACTGCACAAATAGTGTATACAGCAGAGACGTTAAAAACCAGATTGGTGAATGGAAAAGGAGAATAGTGATTAAAGGAAAGTTTGTACCAAAAAAGGATAGGAACCCCTTTGGATAGATAGAAGGTTGTGGAAGAAGTAAGTTATGATAATGTGATCTGATCAAAAGACCTAGAACAGGTTCTAAATTGACTTTGTAGTGATATTGTTTTCTCAAATTCTGCCAACATGGATGAGAGGTGCCTTAAGTTCTCTGTAAAAAAAAAAAAAAGGAAATTGGAACATCTTAAAGTCTGATATCTAAGCAAACTCCATCTGCTGATAAAGATCAAGTGATCTGACCAATAGCTACAGCTGCTAAATGGACCTTGTGGTGAGACTGTTTTCTCAGCATCATTGTCAGGGTATTCAAGGGTGAGCTTTCCATTAACAAAGGTGTACGTCTGAATACTACAAGCTACCTTGATATCACATCCAAGATACATTTTGAAGGTGGACCATAAGGGGTCATTCCTATGTTCCCAGGGTCTTATGTTACCCAGTTCTAGGGTTATGGTTAGATTTAGGGAACTTAGGACCCTGGTAACATAGATCCACTTCCAATGATAGTAGGTGAAGATGTTGCCGTCTGAAGTGTTATAATAATCTATCGGACCTGACGGTCTATTATGCCATGTAAGCACCGGCCTGCTCCCTCAACCTCACCATCAGTAGGTCTCCTATCAGTGTAATGACACAGGTTATGGCTGTAAATCAGTTATGATAATGGAAGACTCATTGATCCCTCTTGCCTTTGTTCAAAGCTAATGCAATATGCACCAGATCCATTACATTGCATTACATGGAACCAAATTACGGAGCATTCTTTTTTCAGGTTAATTGATTCTCAAATTATCTCTGAAGGCGAGGAAGTGTTGAATGAGATTGAAGGGGCTCTTCTGTGGATGGCCGGGTTCACTCATAACCGAGTTGACAAATAGCTCTCTGTGAAAGAGATGGAAATCTGAAGAAAGGGATGATCTTTTTGTGACGACACTAAAAGCTAGACTATTGAATTTGCGAGTAGGGATCATGCACCCATCCATATAAATGTCCAGTGTACACAATAAGCGTATTGTGGAAACCCCTTTTTGCAGCTGCACATTCATCTGCAGTGAGGGGCAGGTGGGGGTCAAGAAGAAATTCTTAGCCATAGAAAAGTGGGGAGTTTGAGTGAGTGGCAGAAAGAATGAGAGGCAAAGAGAGAGAAAGAGAGAGGTAGTAGTAGAATGCGATGTACAGAAAGGCCAATGGGATACTGGGAGTCTGTGCCACTCCTCAGCCAAAGTTGGCTTGATTTCCCTAGAGGCCAAATTAGTTTTTATTGGAAGTTTGGGGGGTAAGAGACATGTGGGTGAGAGTCGTAAGCAGGGAGGAAAGGGGCACCTCAGAGGGAGGAAAGTAGGTACATGATTTGTCAGCAAACTGCGGGCACTGGCGATTCACATGTACCATAAAGTACACCAGACCTCTAAAGAGCATTCCCGGCCGCGGTCGGTCTAATAATCACATTGCGGCGGGTGAGTTTAGATAGACTGGCTGCTTGTGGTTGGTAGCAAAGGAGCAATTCTAGCCATCATAATGTTTATTTCTTGTGCTAGGGTTTGATGGTTACATTTATTGGAAGTGTCTGTCTTTCATTTCTTCACTCCAGAAACCTAGGAACTAAAGGAGTCTTCCTTTTGTTTCTGGCCAAGCTAGCAGCATGGTTCTAGGGATGTCAGTCGATCCATCACTTTGATCAAGACTGAAATATCTCAACAACTATTTGATGGATTGTCTTGAAATTTTGTTATGGCATTCTTGTTTTCCAGCAAAGTATCCTACTGACTTCAGTCATCCCCTGACCGTCTTTGAGCTCTGTGAGATATTTCATTAAATGGATTGCTGTGAAATTTGGTATACACATCCATGCACCCCTCAGAACATTGCTGACCTCTTAACTTTTCATATAGTGCCATCATTAGTTGAAGCTTTTAATTTGTCCAATGCTTTTGTTCACCACTGAATACCTGTAGAACTTGATGTTCCCGTCAGCTTCAAATCTTCTTTGTGTTAAGTGCTAATTTGCAAATATCAGAACGCTAACATATGGTAAACATACTTAAACATCACCACTGCTGAGCCGAAGTGAAGCCTCAGAGAGCGTTTTTATGGCTGTAGGCTCTTAGTTTTGTTTTCTTCCCACTCAAACAGTCTTACATCACTGTTTCGACAACAAAAGACTCACTCAAGTCTTCCATTTGTTCTTCATTCTTCCACAGACCTTCCTTCTTTCCTTCCTTCCTTTTTTTTCTCCTCTGACATTTGACCTTTAGCCTGGTCTGTTTGCTAATGGAATGATGAGACTGCCAGACTGATCCAAAAAAAAAAAAGGTCCCCACTTCTTTGGTGCTAAAGGTCAAGGCATGCATTTAACACTGAATGGGAGCAACAGGGAAAAGATGACTGGGTGACTTCTATAATGACTTTGGAAGTCAGAGCTCCGGTCAGATATCTGTTCCTCCTCATCTTAGCAGAAACTTGTACTTCATGGCTCCAGACGAAAAGCATCTGTCTGAACCCTGAAGCCAGACAACACGTCCCACCTAAATTTCAAAATCTCTTCCTCTATTGTGCTCTTCCAGCCATATTGAAACAGGTATTAAACTGAGAAAAGGAGTCCGCCAAAATAAGCTGACAGCATCCTACGCCTACATTTTAGACTTGACTCCTTGTAAGTCACACAGAGAGTTGAATTAAAAACGGATTAGGAGCAGAGAAAGAATTAGAGGGATTAAAAAGGATTCCCAGACCGCGCCACAAATCCATAGCTGATGTGGTAAAAATGATTGGTTTTAGATGCGGCATCTCATATTAACAAGGCTTGTGAGGCATGGAGGCGCTCTCTTCACACATCAGCAGCCACACTAGCATGAGCCGAGGCACCAAACTGCCCATATTTTACATGTTTGGAGTGTCGAAGTCAAGGGCTTGACTTCTTCTACTTCTCCCGTGTTGATAGTCAGACTCCACTTGAGAACAGCTTGAATCCTGCACCAACACTGAGCCAAATTGAGCTTGACAGCTGCAGGGAAGCTGCTGTGGCTGTGGTTACACTTACACTGTTTACCGGATTATAAATGATGCCGAGAGATCAGCAACATTGAAGTTTAGTCCCGAAAATACAACCGGAGGACAGAATGAGTACTTTACTTCCACTAAGCTCACAGATACACGCACCAGGAACTGTACAAACATTAGCAGGATACTCATAAACACAATTTTGAGCATTATATAGCACATACATAAGAAACAGGTGGTAGAGTTTTCAGTAGGAGCTGATTTGTTTGACATGTTTGGTTGCTTTGGAGACAGGCAGCCATGGGCTTGTGTGTGTGGCAGAATTGCCCGGGGGACAGCCAGTTGTCCAGAGGGTAGGGAGAAGGGTAAGGGATATTAGCTGGCACTGGAGTCCACAGATGAAGCTGCCAAACTGGGCAGAGCCTCAAGTCCAAGGACCCCCTTTGACCAGATTTTCCCACCAGGCCTCGCCCTGCTCCGGAATTTTGAATATTAACTTGCATGGCACGACAATGACAGCCGCTGACAGAAATTTGGGGGTCAGATTGATGCAGGTCCCAATTATTCAGGATTTTCAAGCCGAGTCGCTATATAAAGCAAGATTGGTCTTTTTCCACATGATAGCATACTTCTAGTGAAAGTTTGACTCTTGTCACTTGAGCCAATTTCTGAAATGCAAAATAACATGAAACAAGTGCTTTGCTTTCCACTCTTGCACAGCACATATGCACATATAAGCAGCTTCATATTTCCATTGGCCACCGTTGATTTAACAAAGCAAAGAAGTGTGGTGGAAGATCTGATCAGATGAGCTAACATGAGCAGGTTGAAAATTTCAGTAGACCTTTTAATGTTTCTAGTTGGGGGGTCTAGGGTGCCGTGGTATCTCACCTGGTAGACCCATACAAGACTGAGTACTTGCCATAGCAGGCTGGGTTCAGTTCAGTTCTCACCAGGTGATGTTTCATAAGCACCATAACCACGTGTAGCTGCTCAGCATACTTGTTTACAGACAGTTTTTAGTATTTATTTACTCTTAATGTTACAAGAGAAAATGCCTTTAGGATGACAACTAACTTAACCAAATTTGGCTTGGGTTGCTGGAGTGTAAACTTCCTCCTAAATAGGGCTGAGTGACTAACGTCTTCTTTGTGTAGGTCTTTGCAGAAGCATAATTCCAGCTAAAGAGGAAAATATTTCATTTATTTGTGTGCTACTTTTGGGGAAATTTGTATAGTCCACCTCCAGAAAGTTTGCAACATTTCGCTTTGTCTGTAGATGTTTGACAG